GGAGGCCTCCACCTCTGTTTAATGATGGACAGTCTTTCTTCACAAAAATGGCTTCTTTTACTCCTCTCTCAAACCAACATTCCTCTCTATCAAGAATGAGAACATCCTCATCTCTGAAAGAGTGACTGCTGGCCTGTAAATGAGTGAAAATTGCAGATTTCTGGCCATTAGACGTAGCTCGTCTGTGTTGGGACATTCTTTTGAACAGTGGCTGTTGGTATCAATGGTAATCAACGGTAATCAAGCAATATTAATTTTACTATCACATCACAGCCCTCTGAATCATAATCAAATCAAATCATGAGGTGTCTAAAGATTTCAAGTATATATCAGCTCATTTTGACTATTAACACTGGTTTGCTCCTCTCAGCCACCCTATTAAAAAGTAAAGTATTCAGATAATTTTTTACTTTAATACTTATCTGCTCTGCGACTTTCTCATCTTCAAAATCTTATTTAAATTTCCTCCTGCTTAGTATGTCAGATGTGAAGTTACTTTTCTGTCTCCTTTAACTATAATTATATATTCTTTTAAAGAGAAAGCAGGAAGCAGACCTCAAGTGACTTCTACATAACAGATGACAACATGACAGGCTGAAGGGAGTGCCCGTTTTATATTCATTCTCCATAGCAGATCCTATTGATTGTCCTTGGTTAACAACCCCAGATGTTTACTCTACTCAGTGCAAGTCACTCCAGATTAGATCAGAATACGAGAAAAAAAACTGAATGTAAACTCTGAGCTTCTTTCAAAATAAGTTATTTTGTTAGTGTTCATACACATTCCCCACAGTAAAATTCAAGCACTTTTCAAGCTTTTTTCCATGTTAAATACTCAGACTTCTCCAGAATCAAACTTCAGAGCAGTGTGTATCTCTGCACATCTTTCTCCATGAGTTTATAACCATGGCACACAGCATTCCTTATGTGAAAGGAGCCTATCAACACTAATGGTAAACTGAACAAAATTCTCAAAGTTATAGTATTAATATGAAATGAACATATAAAAGACATCAGAGGCACAGCACAAATGATGAAAAAAAGATACACCACAGCTGTTTTTTAGCAATTAAACCATTAGCTAACCACCTTCACTAGTGTTTTAAAAAAATATGTATTTTGTTGTTGCACATTTTAAATTACAGTAGATGACATAAAATCCTAGCTGGATCCATCTTTCAAACAATCTATTTGTAATTCACCTGCAACGTTTTAAGCTAGCTTAAATTTAAGATTCCCTCACACTACTTTTGGCTAGGTCGAGAGCTTTAACTCTCCTGTTGTGAAAAGCTGCAGGTCCTGCTTGCAAATTTTGCAGAAAGCTGCTTGAGAATTTTGTTTCAACCAGTGTTTTTGAGCCAGCTGTCATTAAAATGGCGACGGACTGGCATGCTGTCTTCTCCCACACACCAGTGATGGACACGACTAGAAAGACACAGTCACATGCTCAAAAGTGCTTCATATCTGTGCCGGAGGACTCCGTCAGTCCAGCAGCTGGCCTTTTCATCAGGTTAAACTGCGCTCACATGCATTTAACATAAAAATATTTAATTGAGGTTTGTAATCCAACTGAGTGCTCTTTATTACAAAACTGTGAAGTTAGATTTCCAAGCACTTCCAAGAACTTTATACAGAAATAAGAAATAATTATATACAAAAAATCAAACACTTTCCAAACCTTGAAAACAATTTGTTGAATTAAAATTCTAATTTGAAATAAAGTAGTCTTTGATGTCCATATATTTTATATATAAGAAACAGGACACAATGACGTAAAGCTTACCTAATTTCCCTCTGGGATCAATAAAGTATTTTTGAATTTGAATTTRAACTGAAAGATAATGCTGGTAGAATAGACTATTAAGGTTTAATGTAAAATATTTGAAACTSAATTACAATCACATCACTTCCCAAATTCAGATTACAATTACAAGATCCAGACCTTGCTGCTATTTTAATGCTGTCCCAGTGTGAATTTGCATTATAGGTCACAAACTATCACCTCTACTTTCTGCCTACTGAGGCAGCTTCTCAACACCAAGCACAAATAAGTGGTGACAGAGGTTAAAACTAATGCTCCAGCTGACGGGGGTGGRGGTGGGGGCAACATGTTACCTCTTCTTTCCCTGAAGGGGTTAGCAACCTTAAGAACTAATTGGCAACTAAGGCTTGTGTGTGATGTTCTGGGTGTTTCAGCACACACATGTATGTGTGTGTTAGGTGGTGGTGTTTAGTGCACACTGGTGTCTTTGTTTTGCCACATAGTTACTGTCAGCACTCAATATGACACTAATACGTATGTTGAGTACAATTTACAAGCAACATGAGAGCAGGTCTATGTGTTAAGAGTGACCTGCAGTCTCAGCTGTCTGAGCTGCAGCTACATGCTGAAAAGCAAACTCAGCACTTAAAAAAGCATTAAGCATGCTTCTGCTTGAAAAACAAAATAGGTTGGAAAATGACATTAGAAGGTGTTCATTACCATCAGAGTGGATRGTAAATTCTGACAGGATGTGACATGAGCCTCGGGAGCATAAATTTGTCATTGAAGCTAGCTTAGAGTTTACAACATTGAAAAATAGTAATAAATCAAGTGYATTAATTAGTAGATCTTACTCTTTGGGCGGGTTCAGGTCTTCAGGACGAGTCTCAAAAAACACTCGAACCTCTTCACACTGGGAGATGTAGACTGGCAGTTGGATCAAAGCCTACAAGTACAAAAGGCAACAGGAAATTTAAAATAAAGAACTACAATCACCTCATATTGTACCATTTTTTATCCTCAATAAACAGTACAAATCAGAGAGGAAAAAAGTGAATAT